CACAAACACACACACACACTTATTCACACACAGACACACATCAGAGGAGTGGAGAATTCATTAGGGGACAGTTACTTAAGGAGATGTACAGAGAGAAAAGGAATGCTGCTGTTGCTTGCTACAAATAATAAGATGCACATTTCCAATGTACTCCTCTGCAGTTAAAGGAAAACTACTAAGGATGCCACGTAGTTTAAATGATAAACTAATTTCATTTTATCCAAAGTTACCAAAAGAACACAGAGGGACAATACTGCTCACACACGATCAGTTATCCTGCCAAACTTTGTCTTTATTTTAACATTTGAATTGTCTTCACTAAAAACATCAGGAATCAGGGATGATCATATAGGTGGGATTTTTTTCAGACATGCAGTTAAAGTGGAAGAGATATGATTTGCTGCCTGACACAGTGACACTACGGGTGATGTTAGAACAAGGTGTTAATGTGAGAGTGTACATCTGCATGAATGCACACAAAAATTCTACAGTGTCGACCCACCCAATCTACATTCAGTTAACATACTCATTAAACACACTGGTAGGGGGTAAGACACAGAATACTCATTTGTTCACACGATTTAACTATGCATGTACTGTATCAACCAAACTACCACATGCTAGAACACTATATTTAATCTGTGTCGTGACCCCATTTATTTTTTGGCCAAACCCAAAATTTGGAACTTTGTGGGTGTTCATTTTGGACACTGACTACTAATAAGTAGGAAACTAATCAAACTCAATATTAAAACCATTATGTTAATCGAATTTGAATATCTGTCTCCAATAATAAGTTCCATTTGTAAAAACAAAAACACAGAAAAGGGGACTGAGCTTGTGCATGAAGGGGAAAATAAGATCACAGAAGCGATCTAATGGTCTCCATCTAGTCTGCTGCTTTTAGATCGATGATACAGACGCACACCTGCTAATCACACTCTTAAAGTGTCCTCCAAGCCTCTTAGTGGTGTGAACCCCATCTGCTTGCCACCTTTTGCTTCTTTCCCCCATTTATTACGCTCTGAAAAAAAAAAATCAATCCCAATACAACATGTATATTAAAAAAAACAAAAAGTCTAAATTCATTGCAGTGGACTGCTTGGTTCCATTGAGTTGTTATTGGCCCTCATCATTTCCCAGGTGTAAGCTACCTATTAACTTCCAATTCTGTTAATGGTTAGCGAGACAAACATGTCAACAATCCAGGAACAAACTCTGACCAGCAGCACATCAATGAAATGGTTTAAGTGACTTCTTGTAATGGATATGAGCCAATAAAGCTTGTAATCACCACACTGCCAAATAAAATTGTGTTGTTTACAACAACAGCATGTTGGCAATAGGGGTGAGCTGTTCAGACATGGAGAAAGTCAAACTAAGATATCTAAAGGTCAGAAGGGCCAGCTAATAGCCTCTTCTTATTACCTTGTCCTTGCGTATTATTTTCAGCATGCGTATGTTGATTTTATTTTCTCTGAATGGGATTGATAAAGTAAAATAAATAAAACAGAATAAATAGCTTTACAATTCACTGTACTTGTCATCCAAAAGCATTTTAATTGAAGAAAAATATACAAATGATAGCGAGATTAAATGTCAAAATCTTGTTATTTGGCTGCATAGGACACCTGACAAAAGAGTGACGAAACATAAGCATCTTTTGACATGGTGACAACACTTCTAAGATAAAAGGGAATTGTCCAAGTGAGGTATTAAACAGTAGTGCTGAACTGTACTATGTGATAGAAAGCGAGGTGCAGCCATCCTGTTATTATTCAGTTTTACACTGGTCAGCCAGTAGCTGACTGGACAATCCAAATGTGTTCATATTTGTCATAGTGGCCCACTATCAACTGGAGGAACCAAACCAGAGCAAGGTCAGGTTGCACTGCATCCCCACAACTGAACAAACATACATAAAAAGGCAACAGCTGTCCATAGCAATGTGTAAGCAGCAGTGCACACAAGGAAGAAACTCACCAATATATCAGAATACAAACACATCATATATAAGTGATGCAAGACTTTTACTTGACACAGATCCCAGGGTCAGTGCCCCCAGTTTGACTGAAAAACTTTTTATCTCCACTCCCAGGACAACGCAGCAGAGCTTCGACTCTGATGGAGCCGGAAATTTTTCTGGAAGTTTAAACTAGCCTTTCGTTTCTGCAAAAGTAGGCCATAAATCTCTCTCTAAACAGCAGCAGCTCTGTAATAAAGTGACAAAATATATTATAAATCTAAAATGAAATAAAGCACTTCGCACTTTTCGTTGCACTGAAAATTTATTTTTTACTCGTCGAACTGATCAGACAGCAAAACATGGGCACAAGTACTCGTTGAGTGTGGACGTGGCCGAAGCTCATTTTTGCTCAATACCGCTCGCAGCCACCCTTCCCAGCAGCCAAAAACAACTCATAAAATACGACAATAAATCCATTTCAGCTGTTAAGCATCTCATCAGATAAAGCTGAGTATGAAACAACAACAGCTACTCATTCACACAAGCTAGCCAGTATGCCTTGGCCGCACCCTCTTTCTTAGACACATACTGTATCAGAAACCATAACGCAAAACAAACTTCTTCCTCCACTATGTGGCAGTTGGTGTTATTCCCAGTGATAACAGCAACCTTACACCTCTCTGCCCCTCCTGCCTTATCTCCTGGACACATCAAACAGGCCTACAGGCCACCCACTCGCTGTCAGCCTGCAGCACTAACCGGATACCTATTGTGCAACACGACAACATAACAAACTACATTACACAACACCAGCGGGGCCAGGGTGCAACTCACCTTGGCCCACAGTGATCTTCAAGACACACCAAGAGGACACAAACATGACCTTTTCACATTAATGTTTTTTTCCCCACTGCAGGTAAGAAATATGTTACTAGAAGTGAGGTCTTTGTCCTCACACAGCATGCTAACAGGCTAGCACATATGTCACGTCTCCTGTTGGAGAAGCTTTATTGACACAAAGAAATGTTAGTGGGCCATGAGGGGAAGCAGTAGATGGTGCTGCTGGCAGCTCCCTCCGCAAAATGGAGTCTTGTTTTCGACTGACAGGGCCGAGAGAGAGAGAGAGAGAGAGAGAGAGGGGTGGAGGGGAGGTGTGGGTCATCGGGGGGCAGATGGGGAAGAGGGGAGGAGAAGGAGGGAGGGTAAAGGAGTAGAGGGGAGGAGGGGTTGCTATGTAGTCGGGGGGGGGGCCTGCAAGAGCCACTGTGTCTTTAAAATAATGAGCCATCTCCTCCCTCTCTCCTCCCCAGTTTAGGAGCAGGGGGACACGGGAGAGGCAGAGAGCGCGCGAATAGGGAGACAGAGGGAGATTGAGTCAGAGGGGAAACGGGTGGCGGGCAAAAGAGGAGAAGAAGAAGGGGTGAACGGGGGCAGAAAAATTATGGGAGGGGAGAGAGTGGGGTGAAAGTGTAACCTGAGCCCAGGCAGGAACGCAGAGTGACGTAAGGGACCTACAGGACGGTTGGTGATCACATGCATGAATGGAGGGCCGCTATGGACCACTGTTACATGACAAGCAACAGGCGCACACACACACACACATATACAGACTAACATGGGGGAGAGAGGAAGGGGGAGAGTTTCTACCTACGGGCCACAAACACAATAAGGTTGTTCCCCTTCAATATAAAAACACTCAATAAACTGAGCCTATCAGTGGATATATGAGGGGAGAATATGTGACAGACGGTATTTAGTCAAAGGAAAACACCTGCTGCACAATGTTTCATTTTTTGTCATTTAAAGAATGAAAATTGTCAAATAAAATGCTCTGACACAAAGACTATTGGGTAAACTGCTATTTTAGTTTACATTTTGACTTACATAAACGGACACCGTAGTAAAGAAAAAACCTGGTACACATTGTCTGGTTGGGGGGTTTGGTGGACAATGACTGTGACTCCTCTATAGCCCACCCTCCCACTGAGGACCACCCATTAGCAGACAGCTCAGTGCTCTTACTGGCTGTACAGGAGCTCTTAATTACAATAACAACCGAATCACACGCTAATGAGCCCGGGGGGGAAAGGGGACGAGGTTTGTATCGGAGTGGAGCATAGAAAGGAATAACAGAGCACATACTGGAGCGTACTGTACCATAATGTGGACCTGTATAGGAGAAATGTGGGCCATCCACCCGCCTTCCCTGTCTGTTTGACACTTAATTTGGCAGCAGGAATGAGAAAAGGAGGAGGAGGAGGAGGAGGAGGAGGAGGAGGAGGAGGGATGTATATAGGGGTGTCTAGTTTTTGCACATAACCCATCCGCACACAGCACACCCACCTTACTCTACATTCTCACCCGCAAATTAGGGACTCCCGATGTCACGCCAAGTGGGGTTTAGCCAATGCCAAAACCCACCACAGACACACCACACACACAGAGGGCATTAGATTACAAACACAGTTTTGGATAGTATCGTTATGGTGGAACGGTTTAGGTAACAGTTTTTTATTCTACTAGTGGTCGCATGGCATTTTGCGTTTTGTCCAGGGGCCACCTTTTTACATGGTTGGCCACTTCAAACACATTTTCCACCAGGCACATGCCACGGCATTGGCGTCGGAAAAATGCACCGTGTGCACTTCAGTGAAGAGTGACCCTTGAGTGTCCAAAATGTGGCTACACAAAACTTCACACACAACACGGGGGCATCCTCTTCTTCTCGCCCTGATATTAACAAATTCATCAAACATTACACTGAAAAAACAACTATTCAACTGTTCTCCCCGAATAAAAAGGAGACTGCTTTGGACTTGGAATTCCGATTGTCATAGTGGGGAGATCCTTTGGGCTTCGCAGACTCGTGTGACAGACTTGATTTAAGCAGCGTGCAGAAGCATATATATAACAAGAAAGTATATAGTAACGCACATACACACTACCCCCTTTCCAACAGAGCTGTGCTCATCACCAAGCCTGAGAGGAACCAAGAAGGGGGGCAAGCTCCCAGTTGCAAACAACTTGTTTTTTCGCTGAGTTAAACCAGGAGACAGCTCAGCGGTTACTTCAGAAACTGTTTGCCTGATAACCTACGACAAACAGCCGATCAAAAAACCAACGCGAACACCAGCCGCTAAAAAGACACTTATTCGCGTTATCTAGAGTGCAGTCGGCGGATCAACGCCGCAGCGTGTTTATACATCAATACTGCTCCCCCTTTCCCCAGGACGGAGGTGAAGATGTCAGGCAGCGTGTGCATTCCAGAATGAAATATTCTCAAGTATTTTTGTTGTTTGCCCCACCCCCCTTTAGGCGTAAACATCTCCACAGTGCCAAATATGGTCCACTTCCCAGAGAATTGAGGTAAATCAGGAACCAGAAACAGCCAATGAGATGTTACCCACTCCCTGAGAGAGACAGAGAAAGAAAGAAGAAGAGGAAGGAGGGGTACCAGCAGCCCCTTCTCATAAGACCCCCTTTCAGGGGGCCTCTGGTCTGGTCTGCATACATGACCTGTGTAAAGGCAGCCAGAACGTTTCCTTTGAACCTGGGCCACTGGGAAGCCAATTTTAAAGATAGAAACAAACAAGTCTGGGAGATCCACAATGTTCCTGAATTAGGACAAAGAATAGCAAACACTATTGTTTAATGGTTTCATTAAGGGACTCGTCACTGTGAACTGATGTAGATGCTCACTCGCCTTCTATGCACGTGCACTCCGTGTTGTGTCCCTGGGACACGCTGAAGACTTGTGAAGCCCACATCATCTAAAAAACCTCAACACCCAATCCGAGAAGTACAAATGTAGGCCAAAGGTTAACCACTGATAAACAAGTCAAACCAGCATTAATTAATTTCAGGTTGGCCACGTGCCATTCCAGCCATTGTTCATCTCCAATGAAAAGGTTTTTTCATTGAGAGATTCATTCATTCAGACTAAGACAACACTACACTAGTAACGTATCCACCTGGTCAAATGTCCTCTAGAAGTGAGAAAGGTCTGACTTATCTGTCCATAATTAAAGAGAAAACCTAAAAAATGTAATAAAGTCATTTTTATCGCTGGAAGAATTCATTTATTTCTATAACAGTGGATAAATCGGATGTAATTTACTTTATTTTCAATACAGATTGTGGCTGAACTGCCTATAAAGAAGATAAATAAACTGATCCCGTGTTTTTTCTCCTCCACTATATTGAACGCTTTAACGCAACAGCAGCCTACAATACTCCAACCACTGCAAAACAAAAAACCCATGCTGCACATAATCACTCCGCTGATGTCTTCAAGGCCGAGTCTTTAGCCTCTTTTACAGCGGGCTCATTATCTCCAGCTCCTCTCTGCCAAGCATCACGGGGACTTGTTTAGATTACCACGCTGTTTTATTATTACAACCAAAACCCTAAATCCATTGATAAAAAAATAAAATGTTAAAGCAAAAACGCAGCAGCAGC